TACATGAACTAAAATTTTACTAAAAATACCTCTAGATTATCTAATATTGGATCTATTCATTCAAGAAAAAATAAAAACTATGATAGTGCTAAACTTGAAAGAAGTGTATCAATGAATCTAACTTGTGATCCTGAAATTGGATAGCTTTGAGATTAAAATTCAATCACAAGTTGTACTTGATTGATAAATCCTCAAAATTTAGATCTTGTACCATTAAACTTCTTGGGTATGATAACTCTTGGTTCTTTAATACTTGAAGGATGTTCTACTCTGAGTGGAGGGACATGATTTGATGGAGATGTTGACGAAGCTCTAATCATCTCTATATCCTTACTTCCTGCCATTCTTATTGATCCTTGTAGTAATAAGCTAAGTTGATACAATGCAAGCATCAACTCCTTCAATTGCTCTTGCATGTGTGCCATAGTACTCTTCATTTTAATAAGCTCGATCATAATAACACTCAAAAAAATATCTAATAGCACTCAAGATAAGTAGAAGAAAGGACTTAACGACAAAAAAAATAGTAAGAATAACATCAGTATAGAAGAAGATAAGTAACTTCTAATATGCTTATGTCTTATCATGAAAAAGGAGTAATCCAATCTCAATCAAGATAAGATAAAGCTTTGATATTGTGAGTATACTCTTATCAATCTGTCAAAGACATGAATTGGAAGATGATGCATAAACCAATGAAATCCGTGTCAAAGAAAAAGTGACAAAATAGAAATAAGATCTTTATATATACTATCTAACTAGGGATTACATTGTAATATTATATAGGACCTCTAATATGTGTTGACTTTGTATGATACATGCCTTGACTTACAAGGCAAGTTTTTCTATATGTTTGCCACATAGTTAGCTTGCTCTTCAAGCTACCAACATGTGTGGCACATGGTTAACTTATTGACCAAGTTTTTAACCTAAAAGTCAACAATGGACACCTATAAAATCAAAGTAGTATCTATAAAGCTTTTAGAAAGCTTCCTTAGAAGATATTATAGAATTAACTTATTTTTACCTACTTCTATCTACTTCTACATATTTATATAGGGAATTATTGGCTTACATGTGTATGTCCATGACACGTATAAATTCTATAGAATGTTGCCTGATAGCTCCTAATTAGATAGCATATATAGAAGTAAAAGTAAATCCTTCTTCACTCTTGTCAATGTCTTTTAAATCCTTAGTCTTATTTCAAGACTTTCTAGACTTTTTATCTTTAAAAATAGCCATTCTAATTTTAATACTATATTAATTTTGAATGAATATCTATTCTTTTTTACTAATACAAGAATGTATTGAGTTTTAATTTATTAGAATTCATGTCTTTGACAATAAATCACCATTATAGAAATCAAATATTAAAATATATTATTTTTAAGATGAAGTATTATATAAAATCTTGCTTGAGAATGTATCAAGTACTTAGTTATGAAAGATAAAAGAAAATTACAACAACAGGTTCTAACAACTCAAATTGAATCATCTATAAATTACAATTAAAGCTTAACAAATATAATCAAATATTGATCAAGTTAAATTAAATTTTTAAATAAATTATATAAAAAAGATAAATAAATCTCAAATAAATCTTAATTGAATCTTAATCAAATCCCAAAAAAATCCTTATAAAATCTTTGAAAAATTCTAAATAAATTCTAATCAATTCTAATAATAGTAATCAATCTTAAAAAAATCTTAATCAAATCTTAGACAAATCTTAATCATATTTTAAAAAAAATTTAAACAAATCATAAAAAAAAACTTAATCAAATCTTAGGTAAATCTTAATTGAATTTTAGAATTTCTTTAGATAAATCCTAATCAAATCCTACGCAAATCTTAATCAAATTCTAGATCTTAAATCAATCTTAAATCTTAAATAAATTCTTAATAAATCTTATGGTAAATTAAAAATTTTATAATTGATTTCAACTCAAATTTTTCACACCTCTTAACAACTAAGCTTGCAATAAATAAAAATATTTGTAAAAAGATCCAACTTATTAAATAAAAGATAAATCCTAAAAACTGCTTGGATGTTAGCTAGCCTCTTTTTCCAATCTTGATGCTAAACTTTTTAAGCCAAAATATCTTAATTCTATGATTAAATATCTTTCAAAATTCAAATATATGTTGGAACTTAATTCTACTATCTATATATGCAAATTTCACTTCAATCCAACTAGCAGATTGCTATAGATCTTAAAAACCGTCACTAATCTTTAAAACCCTATTCTAAGATCCTAATCCACTTAAACTTCAATAATCTTCAATAAAATCCTTTAATCATGCTCAAATTTACAACATGTAATAAAAAAAATCATAATCACAAACCTACAAATTTTTATCAATAGATCTATTACCAAATATACAAAATACTCTTAAATGTAATTTTTTTTTATTGCACAAAAATTACATTTACGAACACAATTTTGAATTTGCAATGCTCTTATAAAGTTATTTTAAACTAAAATTATTCAAAATCCATGTTCAAAAAAACCTTATAAAGTCTTCTCTCAAATCTTATTCTCTAATTTGCAAGAGAACCTTGAAGTCACTATAGATGCATGGTTTTGTGCCTTAAGATCTAATTTCAATCTTGCTTGGCAATTGGTCCTTTCCTAATATCAATTCTTATTTCTTTAAGGTAATTTTTGCTAAAATCAACTTCTAATTCTTTTTTACATATGTCTATATTCTTTATTTTTCTAATCTACCTTATTTTGCCTTATTTTTGGCCTTACAAAGTAAGTAGAAGCCTACTTTGCATAGAGGCAGTATTTGCACTTTTAATTTTACTATCTTTTGACTATTATCTATATTTCTAAGATAATTTGCTATAATATTTTGAAATAAGATCTTCTATAATGTAACATTTTTTTCACTCTTTTACATATTAGTCGTATTCCATCACAACAACAATTTGATGAATCTCAGATTTTATCAACTAATGTAATAAGTTAAATATTCATCATGTATTTTTTTCTTAAAAAGAAAGGTAGTATAATAGATGCTTATTTAATTTAAGTTTAAAAAAATAAAATAAATATAAATTAAATATATTCAATAAAAACTTTGAAAAAAATTCTTAAACAAGATTAAATCTTTAAAAATACAAGACTTTAGTTCTTGATTCTATAAGCCTTATAGAATTTTTTTTTAAGCTTCTTTAAGGTTTTTTTTTGTAGTTAGTATGTAGAGACAAGAATAAGGCCAACGTTAGTCTTATCAATGCCTTTCTTATATTCTAATCCTAATTTAAAGACCTCTAGTTTCTTTGTACTTAGTAATAGTCATTTTAGTTCTTTAATATCTTATATATATATTTTTTGTTTATTTCTTCTTTCTTTAATGATATATGACTATATTATCTTTTATTTTTTATGAAGATGTATATCTTTTATATCTTCTAAATACTAAAATTTAATTATTTTAATTTTATTATTAGGTAGTTTAATAGATGCTTATTTAACTTAAGTAAAACAATTATCAATTGAAGTAGATGTAAATAGAATATATTCCTTAAAAACTTTAAAAAAAATTCTTAGATAAGACTAAATCTTTAAAATATAAGACTTGTAGAATCAAGAACTAAATTCTTATATTTTTATACCTTAAATTAGGATTAGAATATTATATATATAGATATATATATATATATATATATATATATATATATATATTATTTTTTACTTCTTCTTTCTTTAATGATAGATGACTATATTATCTTTTATATTTTTTCAAGATTTATATCTTTTATATCTTTTGAATACTAAAATTTAATTATCTTTAAAAAAAATTAAGAGTGATAATAATCCAATTTAAAGAAGAATTTTTTATAATAATTATTTAAGATTTTTTTCCTAGTATTATAAAAAATAAATTTTAACATCATCCTTTAAGACATGAAATTTTTCCTACAATTTTAATGTGGATTTGTCTTCTTGTAAGTTATAACTCTCTCATTTTTTATCTTCAAATCTGAAACTTTTATCTACATTGTAAAGAATTTTAATCTCTTTTGATATACTATCTAAAAGAAATGAAAGGTTTGTTAAAATTATAATTCAATTTCAAAACTTGATGTGCTTTTATTCTTCATATATGTAAATAATAAAAATAAAGTAAAACATAAGGACTTAAAGTTTATATTTTTTATAATTAAAAGAATTTAATAAAAAATTGATACTTAATGAAATTAATGTAGATTAATATCAAATTAGCACAAACATAATTTGATATATTTAATTAAAAATATAGCTTATATTTTAAAATAGAAAATCAAGAATTTTAAATAAATAATAGATAAAAACATTCTCCAATAATGAAGAGATAGTTTCCAAAGATCAAAAAGACCCAATGCCACACATGTAATAAGATTAAAAAAAATAATGACTGAGGATAAAAATAACCTTTATCTTATTTCTTTCTCTTTTATTACATGTGTACATATATATAGATAAAAAGTGTTTGCAAAAGTAGATACTTGTTGATAAAATAACAAAAAAAAATATCTAAGAAACATTGACTCTCAAGTGTATTTTGACTTTTAACAATACCTAGATTTTTAAGCATAAGTTGGTTTTTAAACATTCTATGATTTCAAACCTCTTTAAAAGAGATTGTACCACTTATGCAACCCACACAAATCTCCCATTTACAAAACGCTCTGCCAACTTCATTTCTACATTCAATTAAAAATTATCACAACCGAGAAAGAATATAAAAGAAAAAGAAAAAAAAAAAAGAGACTACATTCCAATAGTGAAAAACAAGCACAACAACAAATGTGTTCAAAGGATGTTCCAAAAAAACCATCCTCACTCACTCCCTTCATACTCACTCCCTTCACACTCACTCCCTTCATACTCACTCCCTTCACACTCACTCCCTTCATACTCACTCCCTTCACACTCACTCCCTTCACAATGAGGGATGGTCTAGGATGGTCTCAGAAGGGCACTTTTCATCAATGCAACGTGCAGCAGGAAGAGACAGTGCACTGCTGCAATGCACGTTTTATGGATTGAGATGGTGATTTCGTTTACTTGCTTGATTGCTTGTGATTGATATCTTAGTTATTCCCTTTCCTCTGTCCTCTTTCCTTATCGTGTTTTCTTCCCACTGTTCACAGTCCTCAGCCAGCTTTCGCGAGTGCTTCCAAGGCACGTCTCCAGCTTATACGACGGCTCGAGCTTGCACAGAACGGGAGGGTGCCTCTCATTGGCAGCATGGTGGCAAAGCAGTAGCAATGCTAGCCAGCTAGCTAACTCTAGAGACAGGCACAAACGCAACAGATTCTCACAACAAGACGTGAGTTTGAAGCACACGAAAGCTCAGGGTAGCTTTTCTTCAGCACGGGGTCCTCCTCTGCACTCTTCTGATCTGTACTCTGCTCTGCTCTTTCTATATTTGGTGCTTTTTTGGTCGTGGTTGCAGCGGTTGCATGCACGGGTGCCCACCTGGTGGATTGTCAGCGAAGGCTTTGATTCGGAAGAGTTCGGCTTGGGCGAGATTTGTTCTTACCACGTCATCTGGTGCTGTTTTTCGGCATTGTCACCTCGAGATATTTGTCGCCCAGGGCTGGTTTGAGAGACTGGAGTGTGATTGATACTCCGGTGGAGCTTGTGTTGGTGTCGGATTACGTCGATGCGAGAGTGGTTCGGGGCTGCCATACTAGCTTTGTAAGTATTCCGAACTTAGTGAGCGAAACAGTTTTGCCACACCGTGTGTGAATTACCCCGTTTTTTATTTTATTTTGTTTTATTTTTCTGCGCCGGATGAGAGGTTTTCCTGGAGTAGGTGGGTTCAAAACTGGTAATTTGGAACGAAAGATGATTTTTTTTTGTATATATATATATATATATATATACACTTTTTTTTTTTTTTTTTTTTTTTTTTTTTTTTGTGGTGACTGTCTCGCTATGTCGACGTCGCCCTGCTGAATTGGATTCAACTCGCGCTGCACTATTGGATCCTCTGCGTGTTCCCAAATTCTTAGATTTTTTTGGAGTAGAAATTGTAGGGTTTGATGCTGGCCACCCTGATTCTCCAGTTCGATTTAAGCCGAAGTGCATTGTCTGCAGTTATAAAAACTTCAATTTCTTGGTTGTTGAAATCGTCCGACCCATGTTTCTTGATAAGTTTTCTATTGCGCACTGGCTTCGCTTTCAAAAGGAATTAATACAAGTGTCAAATTGGGCACAGCTTATAATCAAGGAACACTACCGATTTCAGTGCTTCGATCAAGAATCTGATAGGGCGACGCGGACTTCAAACCCAGAAGAAACTTATCCAGCTAATGTAGCTGAAGTCCTATACTTAAGGACCTGCCCTTTGCTTTTGGAACAGTGAAAAGCTGTCTGTGATTTGGATCTACTTTTTGGTTGCTTCAGGTCTCTTTCAAAGCTCCCTTGAAGTCCTAGGATTTGAAGAAGAGAGATTCTCCATGACGACCATCGATGCTCCTCAAATTGTGTCTGAATTGCGTGCTACTCTGCGTACGGCGCGCACCAGGCCGGCGCAGTGGAGGCTGGACCAGATTCGCGCCGTTCTGAAGCTTGTGAATGAGAATGAAGATGATATTTATGCAGCTCTTCACTCCGATTTACACAAGTCGAACTATGAGTCCTTCCTCACCGAAGTAGACCTCCCCTACCTCTTTACAATGACATTGATTTCAATCTATTACACGGACAAAACCACAATTTTGCTCGAAACAAATGCTGTGACATAGAAACTAAAACGAAAACTAATCCTCACTTCGCTGTCGAGAAATGTAGGTCAATGTACTTGTTTCAGCTTGTAAATCAACGATGAAGAATTTGCACAAGTGGATGGCTCCTGAGAAGGTTAGTCTCTTTCCTATGAGTTACTTACAGTGGGTTACAGACCATTGTAGTGGAACTTATGTTAACCATGGTAAAGCAGGGCTGTAAGCTCAGACGATCGACAAGTTTTGGCAGAAGCATGTGATGAAGATTGACTTCTATGTTGCGTCTGCAGAAACCAATTCCATTGGCAGTTTGGCCCGCAAATGCTTCGGTGATTTCAGAGCCTCTTGGAGTGGCATTAGTCATTTCTCCATGGAATTTCCCTCTTCGTAAGTTTCCGCTCGTCTAACATTAAATAGTAGCGCAAGTAGACAATGTGGTTGTAGGTGCATTCTTTTCGCCCTAGTTTTTGAAGTAATCAGGAGGCCTCTGATACTTCTGATTTAAGTTTTGATGATTTTCGTGCATTTGTATAAAACATACTGCCCACGTTTCGGTTTGGGATCTGAATAATTTTTAATTAGGGTACATTCATAACTGAGGTTTGACATCATGATGATTGCGGCAGTGTTGGCGCTTGATCCCGTGGTTGGAGCCATAGCTGCTGGCTGTACAGTTTGTTTAAAAACATCAGAAATCGCTCCAGCGACCTCTGCTCTCCTGGCCAGATTGTTGCCGGAGTATGTGGACACCGAGGCAATCAAGGTAGTGGAAGGCAGCATTCCTGAGGTTACAGCGCTGCTCGAGCAGAAGTGGGACAAGATCTTCTATACTGGTGAATTTTTAGTAACCATCTTTTATGGCTCCCGAACAGAGTCTTACATAAAAGTCCCATTCAGCACAAATATCATATCTACTTGAATGGGTTTTCATTTTCTGATATTTTCAAACTCTTGGTTAGGATCGATGACATGTGGGGTTTGTTCATGTTTTGCTGAGACTGCAGGTAACGCCAAGGTGGGCAGGATTATCATGGGAGCTGCTGCAAAGCACCTCACGCCAGTGACTCTGGAGCTTGGAGGAAAGTGTCCCTTATTTATTGACGACTCGGTTGATCTGAAGGTAAGCTGGTTATTTCTCTTGAAGTTGAGTGTACGCTGCAAGATGCTGCGAAGGTGGTTGCTGTGTTTATCTCGTCTGTGCTTGTGAATTTATGTCTAATTTGGTCTGATTGGCAACAGTTAAGGTTACGGGATTTTTCATCACAATAAGCTAACTTCAAGCTATAAATTTCTGGAGGATACTACAGGTGGCATCAAAGCGAATCATGGTTGGAAAATATGGAAGTAATGCTGGTCAAGCGTGTATTTCGCCGGATTATGTCTTGGTTGAAGAACATTTTGCACCGACCCTGGTACATGTTTTCATTCTCGTCGACCTTATTTCTGGGTTTGTCAATTCAAGCTCTTGTTCTGATTACCCCTGGAGGTTGAAGAGACACAGCTGAAAAAGAGGGATTTGGGTCCTTCTCTTGCAGATCAAACAGCTCCAAAAGACACTTCTTGAGTTCTATGGACCAGATCCTAGCGCTTCCGTGGATTTGGCACGCATTATAAATAAGAATCACTTTCAACGACTGTCAAGCATGTTGGATGACCCCAGCATAGCAGATAAAATTGTGCACGGTGGTGAACGAGACGAGAAGTCATTGTAAGACGCTTATGCTTCTGACCCTGCTTAGCTCAGATCAAAATGCATGGTTTATGACTTAGTCTTTTAGTTGATACACATGATCATCAACACTGTCTATGGTTTTCTTTACAGATACATTGCTCCAACTTTGATAGATAACCCTCCATTGGACTCTCCTGTCATGGTCGAGGAAATCTTTGGCCCTATGCTGCCCATCATCACAGTAAGAATCTTAAACCCAGGTGTTTGTAAAGCAAATTTCCTTTATGTTTTTTTGTTTGATTTTGGTCCATCTCCCTGAGGAGAATGATCTTGACTTAACTCATGTGATATCACGTCTGGTAAGTTAAGAATCCACACTTGATAGGCCCATTAGCCTTGGAGGCGCTAAGAGATAATCTGTGGATTTGACCTGATTTCACATCCATTACTCTATCATATACTGGGTAAGGTGACTCTCAGTGACGCAAGTGTCTTACACATTTGGTATGATCCTGCTTACCAACTTTTATGGGTTTTGCTTGTGTGAGCAGGTTAGAAACGTCGATCATGCTTTGAATATTATTAACGACAAGCCAAAACCATTAGAAGTCTACGTCTTCTCAAACAACAAAGACCTATTCAACAGGTTTAGGGACGAAACATCTTCAGGTGGAATAGTGATGAACGACTGTGTTTTGCAAGTAAGTGGATTCTACTCTCATCAACGAAGTTTGCCGTTGTTTCTTTTGTCAAATTCGAGAGATGTAATCAATCATCCATGTGCAGTTCATCATTCCCGAGCTGCCCTTTGGTGGAGTGGGGGAGAGTGGCACAGGCGCTTACCATGGAAAAGCCACTTTCGACGCATTCAGCCACCGCAAGGCAGTCCTAGTGAAGAACATGGGGGGTGACGTCTTTGCAAGGTATCCTCCCTTCACGGTGAGGAAGCAAAGTCTGATTAAAGCGTTGCTTACTGGGACAATTATAGACATCATCTTAGCCGCACTGGGGTGGAGAAAGTAAATCTGATCTGGGGAGGAGATCGATCAGTAAGGCCAAAGCTTCTCCGGTGTCATCACACCAATCATTGCGTGCTAGTGCTGTAGCAAGTTAAACCACGCCTTGACAGAAGCTGGTCCTGCAATAAAAAGCTGATCAGCTGAAGGCAAGCACAGACCAGGCACAGACAGCCATGTTGTTGTGGACAGCATCACCCACCCGTCTTCGTCCTGTAGGGAGTTCGATCGGGACACTGCATGTGTGTTGATTTGTTGAGAAAGACTGCAACAAATGCAGACACCAGCACGACACCCTTGTCTCATCCTCCAAGTCATTTATTGGCCTTTATCTGCTGGCTCCAGCAGATACAATTGTCTTGTACTGCTGTAAAGATCTGTTTAACCTTGTACCTGCAAAATGGTGTTGAGAGGCCCACCAGTTTCTAAATATTATTAAAAGACATTTTTTCATATGCTCTCTTTGAAAAGAGAAAATACGTGTTTTTTTTCTTTAAAAAATTTAAGATATTTTATGGAAAGTATATTGATTTTTTTAAGTAAAAAACTAAACCAGATTTTGTATTTATGCATTATACACTTTGGTATGTTAAGGCAAAAACAAATTTAAAGATTCATGTTGCATTACATAACTTACAAATAATGATTAAATATTGATGTAATGTTGAATTTGGTGCCATTTAATGTAAAAAAATCAAAAATGAAAATTATTGTAGTAGAAATTGGAAGAATTATAATTAAAAATAAAAATTTAGAAATATCTATAAGATTTTTTTTCTTAAAATATTTAAGTAGTAACAAAAATCCAAAGTATACTATGATGTACATGTTTATATAGCATATATATATATATATATATATATATATATAGGAATAGATAGATAGATGAAAGATTTTTTTGAAAAAATATGGATTATTTGACATTCTTTAGATAGATTTACTTAATCAAAAAAATTAGGTATTAATATTTTATTTTATATTAGATTAATTTTTTAAAATTCTTAAAAAAATATAATAAAATATTCAAAATGATTTGATCATGTTAATTTATTCCGTAAATATTTTTTATATAAATAATTATGAAATATTATAAGCAAAAAGATTCAAAAGATAAAAGTAAAATATTTATCAGTTCAAGATGTTCTACTTAATTTTTGTATATTGCATAAATGTTTCTACAAAAATTAAAGCTCTTTTTAATTAATTTCAAATTAGTCTAAATATATATATATATATATATATATATATATATATAAAAATTTATTATATCTTTAATATCTATTAATATAAATAATTATATAAAAAAATTAATTAATATTAGAAATAGCTTGTTTAATAAAAATAATTATTTTAAGATAATAATAATGAATAAAAGCTACATATGTATAATTATTAATATTACATCTTTACTTAATATTGCTATAATTTAATTAATACATGTCACAATAGTGGAGAGGGAAAACGGAGGCAAGAAGACATAATGTTCTTTTGTGGTGGTCGTCTTAACCAATTAGTGAAAGGAATCAAGGTGCAATGCTCCTAAAAGAGTCTTCCAAGGCAAAGCTTTCAAAAAGAAATGTTTTTGGACTTTATTTGTAAAACTTGATTTTGAATTGAAGATGTTTTGGTTTTTTTTTTTTTTTTTTTTTTTTTTTTTTTTTTTAACCTTCATCTTTGAAATTGTCTTTCTTTCAAATTGCAATGTATAAATGTAGAATAGATATTAGTTCGTTTTTGTAAGATATTGGTAAAATAGATTTATAGTCCATAGAATAGTCAGTTTAGGAGGACGGATGATTGATTCAGTTATTAAAAGCGGTTATTATAGGATTATGGTTAGAATCTGGAAATCAGTAGCAATTATATAGGAATTGTAGAAGTTTGTCGGAGAGCCAAACTTTGATAGTCATGAGCCAAGGGTAAGCTTGGTGCTTCCTCTTTGTTTTTTTTGTTTTCTTTGTTGTTGAAGAGTAATGGATAGTTTCTAAATACTGAGAAGTGAGTCTGTGGAATAAATCAGAGATTGATTTATGAGTTATTGATTATGTAATTGGAGTACTGAGTGATTAAATTATATGAGAAGTTATTGGAACATTGATTATGGATGGAAGATTATGATTGTTGTTTATTGAGAGTTGTGTGTGTGTGTTTCGATAGAGGAAGTCTATGATTACAGGAATTTTGTGAATTTAGATTGGTTGGAGTGAAGTCTGTTATTCCTGGTGTTGGATGGAATTTATTGAATTTTGAGCGGTCTTTTGAGAGTGCAGGGTTGCACATTGTGGTTATCAATTGATGAAGGAGTATTATTACTGGCAGATAACATTGTAGTGTTTCTTAGTATTTTAGTGGTTCGAAATATAGTTAATTGTGTGACTCTAACAAGTGAAACTCATGCGCTTAGTCTTTCTCTATGTTTGAATTCCCCTATACATGTTTATTCTAGAAGGAATTGTAGAATCAGTAAAACAACAATCACAATAAAGCAAAGATGTCAATGGAGAAGTGGCCATCTATTAATAAAAAAGAAATTTCTTCTAAATAAATAATGCCTTTATAGATATCCTTCTACTTTAAAAACTAACTTGAAAAAATATTATTGTAAAGGACATCACTCAAATATTCTCTTGAGTATTCCAAAAACCTTCTTTTATCTTTGTTCAATATAGAATGTCTTTGGAAAAAAGATCTTATTATAAAAAAAAATTCAAGGTCACCTAATTCTTCCACCATTCTTAATGTTGTGCTTAATTTATTGCATAAAAAAAGATGCAAGTGTGCGTGGATAATTCTTGTAGAAAAATTATAGTTGATTTCATACACTTGAATTTGGCAAGATCATGTTGATTTAGTAGAAGAAATATTTTTGCTAAGGCAATTGTTGAATTTTGAAGATCTAATTTGTTGGATGAATAATGAAGCTTAGAAGTATAGAGCGATTGCATAGAGAAACTACTTGTATTTCTAGTATAAATAAAGTTAGCTTTAAACTTCATCTATTTACAAAACTTAATTGAAAATTGTGAGATTTTTAATATAATGGAGCATAGATAAGATAATTGTATTATTGATTCATAGAGATAAGTAATTGGGACCAATTTTAGGAAGTTTTTAGAAGTTTTTAGAATTGAGGCCAAGTTGGTGGTCCATATAGGGCCAACCATAGAACATCTTAGAAGAACTATAAGTAATTATTTAGATAAGATCCATCTTTGGAATCTTCTAGAAGGAGCAATTACCATGATAGGGTCTACTTCTAAAAACTTCTAAAAGGATAATTATTTTAGTAGGATCCACTATTAATAATATTTTAGAAAGTTCCAAGATGATTGGATAAAGTATAAATAGGATTAAAAAAGGTCATTTGGGACATTTGGTCAAGTATGTCTTTAGTTTCTTTCTTTCAATCAAATTTGGTTTACATTTTTTGTTTTGTTCTGTTTTATTTTCTTTTGCTCTATTTTGTCATTCATGTTTTATTTTGTTTAATACTATTCAGTTTTGTTTTGGTCCATTTTGTCCTATTTTATAATGGAATTTATATTCCTATAGATTGGAAAGATTTTAGATCTTTAAGAGAATTTAATCTCATTTCATTGATATCAAAGCGAGTATTAGTTTATTCTTTGATAATATATTAATAGCCATTATTTAATTAGAGGTTAATTGTTATAGTCATGCCAATCAATATTTTGTACCTACCATGAGTTACTTTTAAGAAGTCAATTGGAAGGATAGAAGGCATTATGGTAGCAAAGTTTGGCAAAGAAATTATAGCATGGAGGATATGGCAAAGCCATCTCAGATAGAGGCTTAAGTACAACATCTCTTAGAACAAATATCTACTTTGCAGGGACAAATGGAAGCTTCTTAGACAAAAGAATTGACATCTAATAGGTTGAAATTAAACAAGTTTGAAACATATTCTAGAACTTTAAGGCAAGAAGATGTATACCAATAACTCTTCAATGTACAACAATACCTCCATTTATCTAGAACAAAGACCACTTAAGCAATTATGTATGTAGCTAGCTATTTGAGAGGTGAGATAGCCATTTGGTAGTGACATCAAGTTCAAAACTATGGAATTCAAGGTAGATTTTGTAACTAGAAGAAATTTGAAACCAAATTTAGGAATCAATTTTGGCCCATGAATGTAGAGAAGTTAGCACACAATCAATTGATTAACTTTATATAATTTAGGTTGTTGCAAGATTATATCTGTTGATTCAAGTCCTTATTTTTATAAATTGGTAATATTTCAAGACGGACATGATAGATTGGTTCATGCGAGGGTTGAAACATGTATTTCAATAAAAAGTGGAATTAAAAGATTTGCAAACATTTGATGAGGTAGTTAGGATTGCAGAGAAGATCAATACTATAGATTTCAGAAATTGTAGGGCACAACCTATAGGACAAAATCTCATGCCACTACCTAATATTATAGTACAACAACCAATGTCAATGGAGATTGATACTTTACAAGGACTATTGATACCACAAAGATGACAAAAATTGACACAGAAGGGATTATGTTATTACTATCAAGAGCTAAGCCATTACATCAAAAATTATCTAAAGCATCAAAATTTAGATATTAATAAATTAATAAAGATTTATAATTTTGAGGCTCACCAAAATGATAAAGAAGTAGAGCATGGAAATGAAACTTTCTAATAAAAGTATCAAAAGCTAATACTGGAAATGACTATTGTCTCTCAAAAATAAATGGCATGACCTTGGATAACTATCAAAAGGATCAACTAGTGTGTTTGGCAAGTCAACTTAGAAGAAAATCATGTCAAGTACTTATAGATTGCAACTCTATAAAAAATTACATCTTGACTGAGATTAAGAACCAACTTGGAATCAAAATCAAGGTAATCAAAGGATGAAGTATATATTTAATTGATGATCAAGAAAATATATTAAGTAAGATATGTGAAAAAAAAACCTTTTAGTTGAATGACACATATGTCTTGAGAGAGAAGTTTAAGGTAATAAAACTCAGATATGTCATGGTTAGAGATAGAAAATAAGCAAGTTGATTGATTAGCAAGAATGATTTTTTTCAAAAAAAATAGATGCAAGGTAATTCTTTGTGCCTCTACATCAAGTGAGGTAATAAAACAATCTGCAGCTAAAAGCTTTCTTAAAGGAATGACCTTTATAAAGAAGAAGATACAATACAAGCAATCAATATATATGGTAGTTTTAAATCTTGTCTTAGTAATAGAAAAGACAATCAAAGAAGTAGAATGTGTAAAACTACTCATACTTAAATATTAAGATGTTTCTCCAACTTAATTATTTAGTAGCGTGCTACTTGATTAGAGTACCTCCTTTCAAATAGAATAATTGCCTAGAGCCAAATAGACAAGTCAGCCAATTTATTGCCTAGCACCAAAAGAACTTGAAGAGCTAAAAAAGATATTGAAGGAATTCTTGGA